CATTTTGTTCATATGCTTTGGTCAGAAATAGTGTACCACAGTAAATCTTGTACAAAAGCATCTATGTGAAGCTGTCGAAAGCCAGATATTCAAGTATTTGTGAAATATGCCATTCTTTACATGAAAAGGTTTCTCTTTGAAAATGCCACTATTTACATAGATATATACATAGGTATGTTTATTATGATCACTTTGAAATTGTATAGTAAATAATTTCCTAGTAAATGTGTGATATGGTATATATGACTCACATTAGCAAAGGCTCTCTGACATCCTTGATACAATACATTATATTCATCTAAACAAGTGCCCTCTGACCCAGGATGGCTGCTTTCAGAATGAAGAGCATGTAGAAGGCCCAAAACAAAATAATACCCTGGTAGCAGACTTTTTTTCCTTGATTATTTCTAAGAGTTAATTATTTTTATTGGGAAGTCAGGTCACATTTATGGAGAGGATAGGCAGAGATCTTCCATCTGCTGATTCACTCCCCCAAAGGCTGTACAGCTAGCTAAGCTAAGTTGGGAGCTTCTTCCAAGGTCTAACGTGGGTTCTAGGGCCTAAGGCTTTGGGCCATCCTCTGCTGTTTTTCCTAAGCCATAAGCAGGGTGCTGGATGGGAAGTAGAGCAGCTGGGATATGAACCAGCATCCACATCGGACCCTGGTGCTTACATGGTGAAGATTTAACCATTGACCTATCGCAGTGGGTCCTGGCAGCAGACATTTAAAACAGGTGTAAGCCTAAGCAGTTCTTAGCAAAATAGAGCACATGAATGCCCAGATGGCTTACATGGTGTTGTTTTACCTTCTACAATACATATTTACCTCTGGGGGCCTTTTAAGCCTGGTCTACAACTCCAGCATCCTGTATGTTTGCTACAGTCCTTATATGCATGTGAGAGACTGCAAAGAAGCTCCCGGTTCCTTGGCTTCCACCAAAGGTCCAGCACAGTGCATAGCAAGCAAATCCTCCACCTGCTGACACCAGCATCAGTAGACTGCCATGCCAGGCTCCATTTGTCATTTTTGTCTCTTCCTTTAAAATTAAGGATTGTTTAAACAAGTGTCATATAGTAGCTAATATGTAGAAGAAAATCTTGCAATGAAGAGTGTGTTCTAAAAATCTTGTATCAGTGTGTAAGTTAAATCTTTTTGAAATGAGCATCATGGCACAGTAGATGAGACCATCTATATCTTGAGACACCTAGATTCCATATCAAAATGCTGATTCCAGTCCTGGCTGTTCAACTTCATTTTTAGTTTCCTGCTAATGTGCCTAGGAGGCAGCAGATAACGGCCCGAGTACTTGGAGTTCCTGACTCTTTACTGTAAGCTAGCCCAGCCTTGTTGCCTACTATGGGCACTTGGGGAGTGAACAAGAGTGGAAAATGTACCTGCCTCCGGTTATTTTGAGAAGTGAGTTAATTAGAATGCATTACATGATACTTGCAAACCAAATTGGCAAAAGCATTTTTAAAGTTTTGAAGTTTTGCTGTCTTTTTTTTTTTTTTTAGTAAATCCATGTGTTAAAGCACGGAGTGGGAGGCACCATAGCTTAATTGACTGAACTTTAGTCTGCAGTGCCGATATCCCATATGGACAGTAGTTCTAGTCCTGACTGCTCCATTTCCAATCCATCTCCCTCCTTATGGCCAGGGACAACAGCAGTGGATGGCTGAAGGAGCTTGAACACCTATACCCATGTGAAAGATCCAGAAGAAACTCCTGACACTGTGCTTCAGATCAGCCCAGCCTTAGCCATTGCAGCCATTTGGGAAGTGACCCAGCGGATAGAAGATCTTTTTCACTCTCTCCCTCCCTTTCTCTAACTCTTTCAAGAAAAAAAACATATTTGGGGAGGGAAAAAAGGGCCGACACAGTGGCTAAATTGGCTAATCCTCCACCTTGCAAGCACTAGGATCCCATATAGATGTCGGTTTGTTTCCCACCTGCTCAGCTTCCTTTCCACTTCCTGTCTTGCTTATAGCCTGAGAAAGCAGAAAGGACAGCCCAAAGCCCTGGGACCCTGCACCTGTGTGGAAGACCTGAAAAAAGGTCCTGGCTTGGGATCAGCTCAGCTCAAGCTGTTGTGGCCATTTGGGGAGTGAACCAGCATATTGAGGATCATTCTCTCTGTAAATTTGCTTTTGCAATACAAATAAATAATTAAAAAAAAAAAGAATGAAAAAAAAGAGGCCCAGTGCCATAGCCTAATGGCTAAAACCCTTGCCTTGGACTCCTTGGATCCCTTATAGGTGCCAGCTTGTATCCCACTTCCCTTTCAACTCCCTGCTTATGGCCTGGGAAAGCAGCAGAGAATGGTCCAAAGCATTGGAATCCTGCATCCGCATGGGAGACCTGGAAGAAGCTCCTGGCTTCAGATCAGCTCAACTCTGGCCATTTCGGCCACTTGGGAAATGAATCAATGAAGGGAAGGGCTTGCTCTCTGTATCTCTTTTACTCTGTAAATCTGACTTTCCAGTAAAAATAAATAAATCTTTAAAAAGAAAAGAACAGCCCTTAAAGATAAGAATTTCTCTGAACGTCTCATTACATTTCTCCCCACTAAATCAGTTTATTAGTGAGTTTTCCTCAATTTGTTTGTGTATCTCCTAAAACAATGTCTGATACATGGTTATTTTATTCATTGAAGAGAAGGCTAGTAATATAATCAACCCCAGCTCCATGTTCCCTTCAATAGCTTTAACAATAATTATGCACTGCAGTGATATGGCTGGAACAAATAGAAGTATGTCCACATAGTTATTTTGAAGTTTTTATAGCATATTAAATTCCATCTGGATCAGCATTATTTAATCTTTTAAAGATTTACTTGTTTATTTACTTATTTATGTGTTGATTTACTTATTAGAAAGGCAGAGGGAGAAGTGAAGAAAGCAAGATCTCCCAGCCACGTGTTCACTGCCCCAGGAGCCAGGACTGCCAGCCCCAAGCCAGGTGCTTCGTCTGGGTCTCCCAGGCGGCTTCAGCGCCTGAGCATTTTGCCATCCTCTGCTGCTTTCTTGGGCACATTAACATGAAGCTGGATCAGAAGTGGAGCGGCCACGACACAATCTGATGCCTGTGTGAGATGCAGGCAGTAGCTTAATCTGATGTGCCATTGGACTAGCACTTAAGAGGATTTTTTAATGTATTCTGTTTTATAGATAACATGCTTTTGATACTGAAAGGGTTTAGACTGATGAGTTAGTCCAAAGCCATTTAGATGGACTGTGACTAGTAAAATGTGAGGAGCCAGGAAAACAGGACATTCACAAGGTCAGGTAATGGAGGCACTGGTTTCATCACTGAACCCTGTGATCTTAGATACTTCATGTAGTAGATTTATGGCATCAGCTTCCTTATTGGTGTTAACTGTCCAACTTCAGTTATATTTTTTAAAAGATTTATTTCTTTTTTATTGGAAAGTCAGATATGCGGAGAGGACGATAAACAGAGGAAGATTTTATGTCCAATGATTCACTCCCCAAGTGACCACAATGGCTGGTGCTGTCCAATCCGAAGCCAGGAATCAGTAGCTTCCTCCATGTCTCCCACGCAGGTGCAGGGTCCCAAGGCTTGAGGCTGTCCTTGACTGCTTTCCCAGGCCACAGGCAGGGAGCTGTTTGGGAAGTGGAGCTGCCGGGATTAGAATTGGCGCCCATATGGGATCCTAGCGCATCCAAGACAAGGATTTTGGCTGCTAGGCTACCGCACTGGGCCCCAGATATATTTTTAAAACTCTGAGTTGTATACTTTGAAAGTGTGAATGGTATTTTATGTAGAGCCTAAGCTACAAGTTAATGAGAACATATACTAAAACAAATACAAGTCAGTTATGAATACAGTGAAAGAAAGTAAAGGCTTTTAAGAATACATGTTCTTTTGCTGGACAATCACTTTTGCGAATGCTTTCATTCCCCAGTATCAGTGGGCATTGGTTCCAGAACATTCCTCTGAAATCAAAATCTGAGAATGTTCAACTCCCTTATGTAAATAATAAGTATTTTAATCCCTTCTAGCCTGTCCTCTTACATACTTTAAATCAACTCTCAGTTAATGACAATACCCAGTACAACGTAAACAGTAGGTCACATGTATCGCTTTAAGAGATGACTCAGACAATAGTATGGACATAGTTCGGTTTGTTTGTTTCTTCCCCCAAAATATTTTCAATCCTTATTTAATTGAATCAGTACCGTATTTTCTGACAATACAGTTTAATTTTATTAATCTGGAAACACTATATTACAGTATATGTTATTTATAATGTAAATTGGGATAGCATAATGTATAAGAGCATAAACATTGGCCCCAAACAAGACCTAGTCCCTCATTGCAGCTAACTTGGGGTGGGCATTGTGGCCTAGAGGGTTAAGCCATCATTTCAGAAAACTCAACATCTCCCATGTCAGAGTGCTGGTTTGAATCCTAGCTTCTTTGTTTCCAATCCCGTTTCCTGCTAATATACCTGCTAGGTAGTGGTTGGAGTCCCTGCTACCCACGTGGGAGACCTGGGCGGAGTTTCTGGCTGCTGGCTTCTGTTTGGCCCAACCCGAGCTGTGGCAGCCACTGGAGGAAGGAGCCAGTGACTGGGTTAAGATCTCTTCCTCTTTCACTCTCTCGCTTTCTTTGTCGTTTTCGCTCCCTGTCTCTGTCTTAAAGTTCTTATTACTAAAAAACGAAAATACTAACTTATGCGACTCAGTGAAGCCTATTTAGTATCTTACCTCTCTAAGCCTCTGTTTTCTCATCACTACTATGATTTTTCTTTGTCCCTTAGGAAGAATTAAGATAATGAGTATAAAGTACTTAGCACAAAATAACCATTCAGTTAATAATAACTTTATTATTATTGCAACTTAATGTTACATTTTAAAAACCAACATGCATTGAATTTTCTTAGTTGTCAGCATCATACATTTCATTATCTTTTTTACTGACTCCTATTTTCCAAAAATATATCAAAGTGTTAAGTAACATTCTATTTTACTTTCAGTCAAAGAAAAATAAGAAGAAATCAAAGTCAGATGCTAAAGCAGTGCAAAACAGTTCTCGCCATGATGGAAAGGAAGTTGATGAAGGTACTTAAGCAAGGGAAGGGACTATAGAAACCTCTTCATCGTCTTTTAACCAAGGTGTATTATAAAAGCTGCATTTGTTTTGTTTTTGATTGTAGATTTTCATATACAAATTTGTGGGATTATTAGCAAACATTTTGTTGTCTAAATTAAGAACCTAATAGTGCTTTTTTAAATGATACTGCTTTGAAATTTAGATTTAGCTGAATATTTTGAGCAACTGAAAAGCCACTTATCTTTGTTTAGAAGTATTTTCCTGTTAGATATTATCGTCCCTGGAAGGCTATGTATAAGATTTTTGAAAGAGCCACTTATTATTGTCATTTACATCCTTTTTTTAATAGTTTATACATAACACTCTCATCACGTCTCAACAGGTAAAAGTATGTACATTCTAAACCATAGATGACAGATTTGATTTAAAATTTTAAAAACACCATAAATAATAGTTTGTTGCCTAAAACAACGTGAGATTAGAACAGTTTTGTAGTATGAATTAATACACCCAGCCCTCTGGGTTTTTAGCTTAATATCTAAATTTATCATGATATTTTGTATGCCCACCCCATTCTCCCCAAAAATCTACAACCCTTTTGTCTTGCCCTTACTGAATAATATTTTTTTTCTGGGGCTATGTTAGGAGCCTGGGAAACTAAAATTAGTCACAGAGAGAAACGACAGCAGCGTAAACGTGATAAAGTGGTGACTGATTCTGGTTCATTGGATTCAACTATCCCTGGGATAGAAAATACCATCACAGTTCCCACCGAGCAACTTACAACTGCATCATTTCCTGTTGGTTCCAAGAAGAATAAAGGTATATTAGTGGAACATAAAAGAGTGGTACATCAGATCAAACCTCTTTTAACCAGATGTACAAAATATCACTATGTCAAAATCTATTTTAAACTGCTAACATCATTGTGCTGATATACCCTTCTTCGTGAGAATATTGTGAACCATGTACAAGTTTACCTAGCACCAGCAGTGTTACTTCTTACATATTGCCTAATGAATGGCCTGTTAAGCTGAAGTTTGCCTTTCTGCCTTGAGTCATATGAGAAAATGATGTTGCTTCTTTTTCTTGTGTGTATTGCTTTGCCCAAACTCTCTTTTACATCTTCATTTCTTAAGTGGATAAGATATTTATAAGCGGAATTGTTTATCACCATCTGCATGTTGAGCATTTTCATTCCAAGATGAAGCAAGCATGTTCTTCTGTTTAGTGTAGTTTCTGCCTGGGCCTCTTACCCCCCAGCTTTTGAGAGTTGCGTTGATATTTGATAAAAGGTTGTGAGGTTAATATTGTTCTTCCCCAGTTTCAGATAGACACACTCCCGTTGCTGGTGGCCTCTTGGTAGCTTTTTGCAGTGCCATCATTTTTTATCCCAGAGAAAACAGTCTACTCAGTATGCCTCAAGAAATTGGCTTATCGTCTTTCCTCCTTTTCTAATGACTTTCCCACCTCCCCATCACTCAGTTATTTTGAAACCACTTAGCCTTATTACTTTTTACTTTTTGCTTGGTAACTTGTAATTTATTGCCATGATTAATCAATGACTTCTTACTCATTTTCGCTGTCACTTGTTAGCTGTGCTTAAGTATTTTTGTTGGTGACCCTGTTTCACTGTCTTGTGCATGCCTTCCTTGCTAGCACACTGCTATGTCATGCTGGTTTTTTGATACATTGTGGTCATTTATGCTTTTTAGCGTCAGAAATAGTATTCTCGTGTTATAACATGTAGTCTCACCTCTTGCCATATTTCCTAAGTCCTGGTTCCAAATACCAAAACAGTACTGAAGTTGATGTGTTTGCTTCCAGGATTGTTGAAAAGGCAGCTGGTGTTGTTGAGAGGTGGCAAAGTTGAATCCAATTACAGAGCCTAATTCTCCAGGTCCTACTGAACAGATTCTTATTTACCATTACAGAATAGCAAACTCGATTTATATCTGGGCAGTTGTCCAGGTCCTTAATTGGCTTTTTAGCTGATTAATAAGAATATGGTAACTAGAGAACTCAATTCTTTGGACATGCGAAATGTGTTGTAAAATTGGCTTCCAGTGTAAGAGTTCAACACTGAAAGAAGCAATTTATGGAGGATAATAAGTAAAAAAATAATTTGTATGTTACTCCTAATTTAATGTGCATAGTGGCCTATTTAGTGTTAAATAAATTTTATTTCTATTTCAACCAGGTGATTCTCATCTAAATGTTCAAGTTAGCAACTTTAAGTCTGGAAAAGGAGATTCCACACTTCAGGGTGAGAGAAATTACATGTAACTTAAAGTGAAGGCCCATCAAAATAGAAACTTACATACATGTCTCTTTTCTCACATGAATGATGCAAAAGGAAGGAAAAGGCTTAAAATTATTTTTAATTACTAAAATAACATAATCACAATCCAGAGAGTTTTGGAAAATAAATTTTAAAAAAAGATCACTCCCACTTCTCACAATCTTTGGTATGTTCTAGTTTTTCCCCCCATATATGAGAGCAACATGTAAATTGAATTCTTATTTTTATCACTTAAGCAAATTGAGAACGATCTTTGTTGAATGCAGGTTTAATATGGGATAAAAGACTTTAACTTGTATAGAAAGAAAAAGACCTTAGTTTCTATAATTTTGAGAATTAATTTCTTAACAATATCAAGTGTTTCACAATAAATGAGCTATGGTCTGAAGTTATTCAATACTTCACAAAATAGAAAATAGATTTTGATTATTCATTCATGAAAATGATTGAATTAAGCAGACTAGTTTGCCTGGCTAGAAGAGAAATGTGTTGTGGAACAAAAATTCAGAAATGAAAAAAACACCTTCTCAAATTGGGCGTGCACTGAAAGTATGAAGCCTTGGTTCTCAACCATGACTATACGTTATAGTCACCAAAGGCATGTGAAAACATGGATGGCTAATTAAGAGGGATTGTGTCCATGTGTGCACACATGCCTATGTCTGAGTCTGCAGTGAGTACACATGAAGTCCTAGCTCCAGTTCGAGTCTTGATTTTAACTGATTCTGAACTTAAGAATCAGTCTGGTTTTTTGTTTTTTTCAAATCAGTTTGTTTTTAAGAAATTTCTCAATGGATTTTAATGTGCTGCCAAGTTTTAGAACCATTGCTTTATACATAATATAATGTGTAAATATTAAAGGAAAGAACATCTATCTAAGGAGAGATGTTTATATTTTTAGTGGGTGAGTATTCTGAGTATACCAGAATATGTATCATTTTTCTGTTTGCTTTGTTGTACTTCCTTTGAGCAAGTCGTTCTATTAAAAATATCATTGGTGTGTATGTTACATTCAAACCTTTAGTTTTTAAATTAAAAGGCATTTGTGCTGATCATGTCACTTTAAAATTCTTATTTATCAAGTTCAAGCTACTTAAAAGACAATGGTGGGGAGGAGTGAGTGAGATGTATAAGATGAGCAATTATAGAAACTTAAAGACATCCATTTAATAAGCTATCATGTACCTGATTTTTCATGGTTTTTTTTCTTCTTCTTCTTTAAGTTTCTTCAGGGTTGAATGAAAACCTCACTGTCAATGGAGGAGGCTGGAATGAAAAGTCTGTAAAACTTTCCTCACAGATGAGTGCAGGTGAGGAGAAGTGGAATTCTGTTCCATCTGCTACTGCAGGCAAGAGGAAAGCTGAGCCATCTGCTTGGAATCAGGACCCTGGAGATAACAGTACAAATGGAAAAGACTGGGGAAGGAACTGGAGTGAACGTTCAATATTTTCTGGCATTGGTAAGAAGTGTAAGAAAAATTTTTTTGAAGTTCCTTTAAAATTGCTAATCTGGTACATAATATCTGGTGAATATTACAGGAATGAAAAAACAAATTCATGAATACCAAGTTAGTAGTGCCATAAAGATATAATCCTAATAATGAGCTCATCAGAGATCTTTTGCATGGAACAAATTGAGAACTAAAGTGAATAACATTTATCTCCTAATCGGTATCTAGTGTTTTCATATGCTTCATTACATTTAATTATCAGTATAACAAACTGGTACAATTGCTGTGTGATAAATAAGTAGCAAATGTAAGTACAGGTTACATCATCCTTGTTAGGATATTTTACAGTCAGCAAAATGCCTATGTGTAGTTGAGTTGTCCCCCTGAATTTTAATAGCTGAGAAGCTTATTTCTGTTGTCAGCTATCTTCACGTGTATATGTTATAGAAAAGAAACCCATGTTAAATGTGGGAAAACCGCATTGACCTTATGCCAGCTTGTGGTAACCACTGTAAGTTTTTGTATTTCTTTATGGTCTCCTCTTCCCCATGTACAGTTTAGTTTTTTTGTTGTTCAAATAACCCAAATTAACTATGCTTTTTTTTCTGCTCACTTAACATTGTAACATAAATATTTTCATTAAATTCATTTAATACCTGTTGCACATTTAATGAGTATTATATAAGTACAGCGTGATTTACTTAACTATATAGATAAGTAACTTTTTACCCATTGTAAATAAGGCTCACATTAAGTATTTCATTCTGTGTTGTTCCTTCAGGATGAATTCTTGGGAGTGATTTTAGAGTAAAAGAAATGTGAATATTGATATTACTGTGCTCTTCACTCAGTATTTTCTATCAGAGTTACTCTATCTTATAATCTTAACATCAGTATAAGTGCCCATTTGTTTAAAAAAAAAAGTTTACTGAGGTGGTGAAGGCTTAGTTTTTCAAGAAACATCTTCTAATTAGATACATTTTGATTAACTTTTTTAGAGTCACTGTTGAGTTTGAATATTTCTCCACAACTTGTTGTTGTTTATGAAGGTTTTTGTTATTGTTACTGTTGGTTTGGTTTGGTTGTGGGTTCTTTTGTTGTTTTTTAAGATTTTTTTTTTATTTGAAAGCATTACAGAGAGTGATCTTCCATCTGCTGATTCACTTCCCAGGTGGCCATAGCAGCCGCGATTGGGCCAAGCTCAAACCAAGAATTTCATCTATATCTCCCGCATCACGGGTGGTATAGGCCAAAGCACTTGGGTAGTCTTCTGCAGCTTTTTCCAGGCCATTAACTGGATCAGAAGTGGGACAGTCAGAATTTCGAACAGAACATATGTGGGACGCTGGCATTATAAGAATCAGCTTTACACAAAACGTCAGTCCCGAATTCTATGTATTTTTCTTTATTTTTAAGATTTGTTTTATTTTTATTGGAAAGTCGGATTTATAGAGAGGAAGGGAGACAAAGATCTTCCATCCACTTGTTCACTCCCCAAGTGGCCACAAGAGCTTGAGATGAGCCTTTCAGGAGCCGGAAGTCTTCTCTGGGTCTCCCACAAGGGTGCAGGGTCCCAAGGCTTTGGCTCATTCTCCACTGCCTTCCCAGGACACAAGCAAGTAAATAGATGGGAAATGGAGCAGCCAGGACATGAACGGGTGCACAGATATGGAATCCTGGCAAATGCAAGGCGAGGACTTTTGCCACTAAGACATCACACCAGGCCATCTATTTATTTTTTAATTCTTTATGTTCTTTGTCATTTGTCTTTTTTTTTTTGAAAGGCAGATTTATAGGGAAAGGGGAAGAACAGAGAGAAATGTCTTCCATTCACTGAATTACTCTCCAAATGGCTGCAATAGCCAGTGCTGAGCTGAGCTAAAGCCAGGAGCCAGGAGCTTTTTCTGCTTCTCCCATATGGGTGACGGGTCCCAAGCACTTGGACCATCCTCCTTCCAATGTACCATGCCATAAGCAAGGAGCTGGATGGGAAGTGGAGAGCCAGGACGTGAACCAGCGCCCATATGGAATACTGGTACTTGAAAATGAAGGAATAGCCTGTTGAGCCACAGTAGCAACTCCCTGCTATTTGTCTAATGGCCCCTTTTATTGTGGTTTTTTGTAATCAGATTATAATTGTGCATTACACGTTATGTTTTTTTTTCTGCTGTGCTTTTTTGCAAGTATTTTTGTTAGCTTTAAACAGAAAAAAAAAGTAGCTTCTTCCATCTTTAAAAAAAACTCTCAACAAGCAAACTCTAAATTTGCTAAGATTGTTCTTAAGCTTAGTGTCTCCTCCTCCTCCTGCCATATCCCCATAGGTAGCAATATAAAAAATATTTGTAAGGACACTCAATAAATTCTTAACCTCGTGTTCAGCAGAGAAGAGAACACATTCCTGTGCTATAAAGCATTCTGACATATTTAATTAAATAACTAGCATAATGTTATGGAATAATGTTAGGAACTATTATCTGACGTCTACAGTTTACTTATAAAAGTTACCTAGCATTTCATGAGTAGGTCAGAGATTGCATTGTATTTGCTCAATATTGCTACAGATAAAATTAAGCAGCAGATTTGAATTCCCTGCCTGTATGGATTAGGACCTTTATTGAAATCATATGGGAATATGATATATGTTAAACTTGCATTTAGTTATTCTGAAGAAAAAGGTATTACTACTTTCATGGAAGTGTATGTTCTGTATAATACAACCATGAATTTAGAAATAACAGCTACGTATCATTTAGCATTGGGGAAAATTGGTTTACGTATAACTAGGTTATTTCTAGCATGTGTGAACATCAGTGTGCTTATACCAACTAAAATGAGGCTGTGATGTCACTAATAAAATCCTTCAGGAGCATAGTTGTATATGTAGCCTGCCACTCAACAAAATTTAGTATTGCACACAGCTGTATTCATATAAGAAATTTCTTGAAAATATAAAAAAAATTGTATAGTAGAAAAAATGAATATGCACCAGTTGAGCCAAACTTTCTGTGGACATTAAGCTTAGTTACTTGTATGTATCTGATATTTAAATTGTTGTAAGAGTTCATTATAAAGAATGAATGTCAAGTGTTAAGTTAAATGCCTAAATCCATCTAGTTATTTAGTGCCTTGGTGAAATGAAGAGTATAAATTTTAGAAACTGACTTGAATTCCAGTCATGGCTCAGCTATTTCCTAGCTATCAGCAAGTCATTTAACTGCTGAAGTACTAACTGTAAGGTTGCTGTAAGGGTTAGAAATGCGTGAGGACCCAGTCACATAATAGATATGCAGTATGTAGTAGCTATTACTATTGTGGTTCTGATTTCTAAATTTATCTCTAAATTTGTTGCCATAGTTTAAATTTGTATGAGTTTCATTGCAAGTTGAAGGTTCCAAGTGACGTTCTTTATTTTAACAGCTGCTTGGTCTAGTGTGGATAGGGGGATGAATACTTCTGAACAGAATTCTGCTTCTTTTGCATCTCTCACACTTAACTCTGCTGTTTCTGGTATGTGAAAAACAGTCTTTCATTTAGTTAACAAAAAAAAAAATCTGTTTAAATTAATTGTAGTGCTTGTTATTTGAAAAACAATCAGAATCAAGTACTGCTATCAAAGAGTAGCAGAAACCTTTTAAAAAGAAAAAGACAGGGAAACCTGGATGTTTATATACAAGTGATGAAGCGCTTTTCGTAGGGAAGAGGAATATATTGGTATGCAATAACTGATGGATAGTCTTTCATATATTCTGATCATATTGCTAGTTGCAATCTGACATTTCTATTCACCATTAGTTTATAGCTAACTCTTTCAGGTTATATGAACCTTTGTGATAATTCTACCTTGAATATATATTTTAAAAATGCAACTGTGAACCATTGTCATTTTGGAATTACTTAAATAGTATGCCTTTTAATAAACATACAGAAGTAACAAAGGTACTTCAGAAAGTTCATGGAAAAATAGATTTAACTTATGATCTCTCATTTTGGTGGAAAAAAAATCGAAATTTGTAGTTTTTGCATAGTGTGCACTTCCCATGAATTTATTGAAGACCCTGGTATATCTACTTAACAAATATTACATAAATGTTGAATACTTTGATGTACTGGTGGTTCACATTGGAATTCATGGATCCAGTAATCACTATATTTCCACCATGTCTAGAATCACTAGCCTGGAATAAGAGTCAGCAAACTTTCTATAAACAGCCAGATGGTAAATGCTTTCAGCTTTATAGGACACATTGTCTCGTGTAGCTTCACAACTCTGCCAGTGGAAAGCAGCCAAAGATGATACATAAGCAAATATTTGGGTCTGGTTCTGAAAAATTACTTTTAGTTCATGAACCATACAAAAATGAAATGGTTGGAATTGACCTGCAGATTGCAGTTTGCCAAACCCTGATCTCATGCAGTATATATATTAGTTCCATAGGTCCAGATTAATTGCTTTCCTCTTGTAATTTTGTATAGCACAGATGCTGTTTTTCTTCTAAGTTTTATAGGGTTGCTCTGTTTGTTAGAATTTACACCAAAACAATATTAACTGTTTGGTGTATATATCAGTTACTTTAGTGGAATGTTAATGTGGTCAATTATAATAACCAAGCAGAAATGGGAATTAGAATTCAGATGTGAAGAAGTAATTGTATTTAAGCCTTTTATAGTAGTAGGTGTTTTCTTAACCATGTCAGCGATTGTGAATTCGAAGTGAATATGTATCAGTTAAGGACTTAGACATAGAAGTTCAGTAACTGTGATGGAGAACCACTGGCTTACATTTGCATTCTGAAATGAACGTGGCAGTAGAGCAAGGGTTTATGATGTGGAGCCCATTAACTTATGATCCTGAAAGAATTCCTTTCAAATTTGTTGCTAGCTTCTACGTAGTAGGCCACCACTGCTTTTGTATTACTAAGGAACTCATGAGATCTCTTTACCCCGCCCCTCCAAAATAAAACAGAAATAACAAAAACAAAGCTTGGAAGGTAATGTTCTGTTTTCTTTAAATGCACCTCCAGCAACGTTTGTCTCTGGCTTCTCTCTGCCTCACCTCTCTGGATGCTGACCTGTCTAGCTAGCTCTGCTTAGCCAGAAGGCGTTAGCTGACTCAGACATTCTGTAGTCCTGTCTCTCAGGCTTCAGAGCTTCTAGTTACACCCTGAAACATCCAGGACTAAAATGATAAATAATGGGGACTTCTTTTGTGCTTGATTTTTTTAAGAAGAAAATCTCACTTCTTAAAAATTTATAGCTAAATGATTAGAAGTCTATATTGTGAAAGACAAAATATAATGGAGAGAAAAATATACTTCTGATCAATAAATTAGATGATTATTATACTTAATCTAAAATTACCCTCAATTCTCCTTTTCCTTTTAATTTAACACTTTCTAATATCTGAATTTTCCTTTCAGGAAAAATTTTAAAAATAAGGTCTCCATGTGCAAAGTATAAAAATATTGTTAAAACATCGTTAGGAAATTTTTTTTTGAATTTTATTGCATTTGTTTTTTGTTTAAGGGTCAGCCGCTGAGCCAGGTCCTCAGTCTGCTGCTTCTGATTATCAGTGGGATATTAGCCGTAATCAACCCTATGTCGACGATGAATGGTCTGGGTTAAGTATGTCCTTTTAAAAATTAGCAATTTTGGTTTTGTTTTCTGTTTTTTAGAATTTTCCTTCTCACACCTGAATTCATGCTTTGTTTTAACTTTAATGCTAATTTCATGCTTGTAAAAGTCATTGTGAAATTTACATTTAACACTAAATGTACTGCTTGAAATGTAGTTATTGCATATTTAATTAATTCTAATTGCTCTGCAGTATTTTTTGTTAGTTTTCATTTTAAATGTTCAGTTTGTTCTGCTTTTAGTGTAATATAGTGAATAGAATATACAGGAAAGATTGAATTTGTGGTACGGGCACATTTTTGTACTGATAGAAAGCCACTCTCTTAGCCTAGTTTCAGGTAGGAGCATGGGAAACGTAAAGGCAAGTGGTTTTTTTGTTTGTTGTTGTTTGTTTTTAAATAAAGGAAGGAGGTTCTCAGGTAAACATGGCTGGCCAAGCTGCTATTGCAACTTTAGGCTGATGGCTGAAGGGCATTTGGAAGTGGTATTACAGTGCTGCAGGATTCAACAAACTGGGGTTAATGCGAAATGATACAACGTACGAGGATGAAGATGTGAAAGAAGCCATCAGGAGGCTCCCTGAGAACCTTTATAATGACAGGATGTTTCGCATCAAGAGGGCACTGGACCTGACCATGAGGCAGCAGATCTTGCCCAAGGAGCAGTAGACAGAATAGGAGGAGAATAAGTTCTACCTTGAACCATATCTGAAAGAAGGTATTTGGGAAGGAAATAATCATGTAGTTGATGTCTGTAGGTGCAGCTGTCCTGAAGTATTTTTACCATGTTGGTTAAATGTGAAGCACAAGAAGGATGTGTTACTTTAAATGTCTACTATAATCATTAAACAGTAATAATGAAAGAAGGAAAGGACATTCAGAAGGTTCACACAAGCTTTTATTTCAATAGTTAGCATATGATGCCTTAAATAGATGACCTGCATATCTGTCTATATGTAGGCTTTCCCCCCCCCCCATCTCAGAATTGACTCTTCTGAATTTTTATACATCATCCACTGTTTCTTTTTATTTATTTATTTATTTGTTTATTGTTGGAAAGTCAGATATACGGGGCAGGGGCAGGGAACAGAGAGGAAACTCTTCTGTTCACTGATTCATCCGCAGGTAGTCACAGTGGCCAGAGCCAAGCTGATCTGAAGCTACTGTACTGGGCGCATCTTGCACTATTTGTTTATTGCCCTATGAGATTCTCTAGCATTGTGTATTTGACCCCAAAATAGTTGAAGACGTTCCTGGCTCCTGGCTTCATATTGGCGCAGCACCAGCCGTTGTGGATGCTTCGGGAGTGATTCAGTAGATGGAGTAGATGGAGGATCTTCCTCTCTCTCTCTCTCTCATCATCTCTGTGTATCAGACTTTGCAATAAAAATAAAATACTAACTAAATAAATAAATACAAAAAAGAGAGAGAGAGATCTTCTGTCCACTGGTTCACTCCCCAGGTAGCCATGACGACAGGAATTGAGCTGATCTGAAGCCAGGAGCTCCTTCTGGGTCTCCCACACAGGTACAGGGTCCCAAGGCCTTGGGCCGTCCTCCACTGCTTTTCCAGGCCACAAGCAGGGAGCTGGATGGGAAGTGGAACAGCCAGGATACAGAACCAGCTCCCACATGGTATCCCAGTGCATATCAGGAAATTGAGGTAAAGAAAACTTATCTAACATTTGCTCGGGCACCAGCTAGAGGTGGAAGGTTGGGATTGAATCTTGCTGGTCTGATCCAGATGTGATGCTCTGAACCCTTAACCTGGTACAGCCTTGGTAATGATGACAGTCACAGGGCACAAGTCTTACAGATGAGGGAGATGAAAGTGGAAAGCTAGCCTAGGACGGGGCCTTCCCTGCTGGCTGGAGACCAGGGAAGTTTGCAAGGGAATCTGTCCTGTTCCTCAAGTATAGCTCTGGGTGTCATAGACTTGGTCACTTATCTTGGAATCTGTATTGATTGAGGGTTAAATGGAGCAGATAATCTGTCCTGTTTACTGTTGTAGGCAGTTGTAACATTTCACTCTGTAAACACGAAGCCTACTTGTACATGACAACCTAAAATTCAAGGTGCTACAAAGGTATGAAAAATATAATCTGTGCTGTGAAAGAATAATTAGCTATGCAAAATACCATTGAGGAGTCTCTTTAACTAATTGAGCTTCTGTGTAACCTATTTTTGCTGAGGTTTTATTTTTTGTATTACAATTTTTAATGGGACTTTTTTTTGGGGTAGGGTTGTCATAGAATTGTTTTCAATTTCTACAGTACATGATTTTTTTTTTTTTTAGATTAGTCCACAAAATTGTAGCTTTACATTTAGATAATAATTAATATAGTGTTCTTTGGGTGATTATTTATTTAGGTTTGTTTATTTGAAAGGCAAAGTTACACAGAGAGAATGAGAGACAGGGCTCTCTTTGCTGGTTCACTCCCCACATAGTTCCCATGGTTGGGACTAGGTCAGGCCAAAACCAGGAGCCAGGAACTTCTACTGGGTCCCCCGCACAGATGCAGGGACCAGTGACTGCTTTCTCAGAAATATTGGCAGGGAACTGGATCGCAAGTGGAGCAAACCAGGTTTGACCAGGACCCGTATGTGATATGGCACTGCTGGCTGAGGCTTTACCTCAGTATGCCACAGCACCAGCTCTCTCCCTCTGGTATGAAATAGCCACATTATTAACTCACACAGAGACATGCACTACGCCCAAGTTCTTGAATAGGCATGAGATTGAGATCCTGTTTTTAAAGTCAGGTTCTGGACTTTAATTGATCTTGATCCTAAATGAGCAATGTCATTGTAACCTATGAAATATAAAATGTTTCTTGACATACTCGGAGTTCTGAATGGGCTATATCCTAGTGAAATGACTAACAGCATAGGCTTGGAGGACAGACATGGGCTTCAGTTTTAGCTTCCTGGTCTTTACCATTATCCAACTTACATGATTGTTCTATACCTCAGTTTCTTTGTCCATAAAATAATTTCTTTTTCCATAGAGTTTTTGAAAGGATTGAGTCAACTAGTATTTACAAACCACTTGGAATATGACCTTATACATAATATTCACTGAGTGCTGATTTTCCCTATATTATTACAATACTGTAGTGCCTCATAAGCATTCAAAAGTCCATCATTCTGCTGTGAAAGTGTATCCTGACATCACTGGCAGAGAATCCAGCATCCTATTGTTAAGACATACTTAACAGTTTCGTTGGGAGTTCATCTTTGATTTGGAAGTAGAGATGCATACTGCATTGTATCTTCACATCTGGATATGATAATATCTAATGCACAGTTACTATATATTCCCCTAAATGAAAATCCATAAAACAGATCGACAACAAGAATAAAGTTAGGGCCTGATATGGTAGCTTAGTGACTAAAGTCCCAGCTTGCATGCACCGGGATCCCATATGGGTGCCAGTTTGTATCCCAGCTGCTTTGATTTCCGATTTAGCACCCTGCTTAAGCCTTGGGACCCTGCACCTACATGGGAGGCCTGGAAGAAGCTTCTGACTACTGGCTTCAGTTCACCTCAGCTCTGGCCATTGTGGCCCCTTAGGGGGTGAACCAGTGGACAGATGATCTTTTTCTCTGTTTCCCTCCTCTCTATTTATCTGCCTTACCAAATTAAAAAACTAAACAAAGTTAGAGAATTCACAATGACATGAGGTTAAATAACATATTACTGAATGAGTATTGTGCCAATGAAGCAATGAAAAAGAAAATAAAAAACCTTCTTGGAGAGGTTAATGCTACTGTATAACCTGTGAGTCAGTGAAGAGTTCAATAAGAGAAAATAAACTATTTTGAAAAATGAAAATAAAAATATCCAAACCCAAGAAATGCAATGAAAACAGTATTAGAAGGGCTGTTGATCTTACACTTTGCATCGAGGTTGCCTTATAGAGAGAACATGATGTTTGTCCTTTTGGGATGACTAAAAAATAAATTTGTAGGGCCCAGCGCGATGGCACAGTGGTTAAGGTGCTCACCTTGCATGCCCGGGATCCCATATGGGCGCCGGTTCTAATCCCGATGGCCCCGCTTCCCATCCAGCTCCCTGCCTGTGGCCTGGGCCAAAGCTTGGGACCCTACACCTGTGTGGGAGACCCGGAAGAGGCTCCTGGCTTCAGATCAGCATAGCATCAGCCATTGCGCTCACTTGGGGAGTGAATCATTGGATGGAAGATCTTCCTCTCTGTATATCCGCCTTTAAATAAAAAATAAAATCTTTACAAATTGATTGTAATCATATAGACTCATAGCTTGAAAATGGCTTTAATATTATAGATAATAAAATTTTTAAGCACCGAGCCTAGCACAGTGACCTTATGGCTAATTCCTCACCTTTCATGCACCAGGATCCCATATGGGCACTCATTCATGTCCCAACAACTCCACTTCCCATCCCGTTCCCTGCTTGTGGCCTGGGAAAGCAGTAGAGGACGGCCCAAAGCCTTGTAACCCTGAATATGGATGGGAGACCCAGAAGAAGCTCCTGGCTTCGGATAAGCTCAACTCCAGGCATTTGTGGGCCCATAGGGAGTGAACCAGTGGATGAAAGATCTTCCTCTCTGTATCTCCTCCTCTTTCTGTTAAATCTGCCTTTCACATAGAAAGTAAATGAATAAATCACGGCCTGTGTGTACACATATTTGGAATGTGTTGTAAGGAAAAATAGTGGTTGGGCCCAGCGTCGAGGCCTAATGGCTAAAGTCCCTGTCTTGAAAGTGCCAGGATCCCATATGGGCGCCGGTTCTAATCTGGGTGGCCCTGCTTCCCATCCAGCTCCCTGCTAGTGGCCTGGTAAGGCAGTCGAAGATCGCCCAAATCTTTGGGACCCTGCACCAACATGGGAGACCTGGAGTAAGTAAGTTCCTGGCTCCTGGCTTCGGATCAGCACAGCACTGGCCATTGCAGTCACTTGGGGAGTGAACCATTGGACGGAAGATCTTCCTCTCTGTCTCCTCCTCTCTGTATATCTGATTTTGCAATAAAAATAAATAAATCTTTAAAAAAAGAAAAAATAGTGGTTTATCTACCAAAAAAATTTTCAAAAACCTACCTTAAGTGAGCAGTTACTGCATTGCTATGAACTGATTTATTTTTATGTATGTAATTTTTTTAATTGGAAAGTAAGATTTACAGAGAAAAAGATTTCACATCCACTGTTCACTCCTGAAGTGTCCACAATGGCCACAGCTAAGCCAATCAAAACCATTGCAAAGCAAGGACTTTAGCCACTAACCTACTGCACCGGGCCCCTAGTAGTCCTTTGACATTCACATTTATCCCATTGAGAATAAGCAACTTGGACCGTGCGTGGTAGCCTAGCAGCTAAAGTCCTTGCCTTGCACTCACTGGCATCCCATATGGATGCCGATGTGTGTCCTGGTAGCCCTGCTTCCCATCCAGCTCCCTGCTTGTGGCCTGGGAAAGCAGTCCAGGATGGCCCAAAGCCTTGGGATCCTGCACCCACGTGGGAGACCTGGAACAGGAACTGGGCTCCTGGCTTCAGATCAACTAGGCTCTGACCGTTGCGACCACTTGGAGGGTGATCAGTAGACGGAAGATCTTTCTCCGTCTCTCCTCCTCTCTTTATATCTGACTTTCCAATAAAAATGAATCTTAAAAAAAAACTAAGCAACGTAACTAAAATCACATTATACTAAAGAAGTGGAACAACATTCACATGTCCTGTTAGTCTAACCCCTTGCTTTTAACCTTTGTGATAATGTTACGTGATGCTGACTTGGGATCCTGTTCCTGAGAATGAGTCTAGAAAAATATGGAAGGAACTAGGTTTTTTTGTACTCTATTTTACATGTGTGATAACTTGTTCTGTGCTGTTCTCCTCAGTATCGATTCTTGGCTTAATCTTCATCCTATAATATTGGTTTAGCTTCTTTTCTTGTTTCAACAGCCCCTTCTTTATTTTGTTCTTAGCCACTGTCTTCTTTGGGGAACCTTAATTCTGCCAAGAGCCATGTGGATATTTATAACATCATTCAGAGGCCATAAAAAATTATCAATGTAAAATTTAATCTGCTGTGGATTTATTGAATTTTGAGTCCTTCCTGTGGTTGTCTTGTCAGGCCAAAATAAATGATTTTAAGGATATTAAGAAGGATCTGTATTGTGGCACAGCCTGGTAAGCTGACATCCTTTGTGTCAGTGAGTCCAGGCTGTTCTACTTTTTATCCATCTCCCTGTTAATGTGCCTGGAAAACAATGGAATATAGCCAAGATGTTCAGAACTCTGCAACCACAGGGGAAACCAGGGTGGATTTCCAAACCAGTTCTGACCATTGTGGGCATTTATTAAATGAATAGTTAGAATTGCTTCTCTTGTTCTGTCCCGCCTGCCAACTCTGCCTTTCAAATAAATCTTACTATAAATGTATACATATTTGTGGCCCAGCATTCTCTGCAGTAAGCATTCTATGACCTGGATATGGGAAGAGTTTTGTCTGACTCATTTCTGTATCTCTGGTACCTGCTGAGTTCAAATTGTAGTGCATAGTATTTTATTTCCACTATTAAAAATATACTTACTTGGAAAATGAACAATAAAAGGGAAATTTAACAAAAAAAAAATTTTTTTAAGTATATGCATACTGCTATACTTTGTATAAATTGTAAGATTATATTGTGGAATTTTGTTTTCTTTTCCCCCCTGCACACATCTTCTGTATATTCTTACAAAGCATGAATGTTTAAGTTTTGATAAAGCTGCATCAATATACCTCCCCTTTAACAAAAATAAGAATTCATATGTAAAAATGAATAACAAAAAAAGGCTGATTTATCACTAGTGGGAAACCTTTTTTCTGCCAAGGACAGTTCAGATACTATAATACCATTTATGGGCCATACAAAATTATCAGCTTAAAAATTTAGCCTGCTGTGGGCTTATTGAATTTCAGGTCCCATGTATAGTTGCTTGGCGGAACCAGACACAATGGCCTCATGGCCCTTACCTGATCAATGATCCAAATGTTTTCTACCCCTGTTCTAGATGCTAAAATGTATTATAGTGTTAAATTACGTATGGCACTACCCCAGGGATAGATCAGTGCAATTAAAAGTTCAGAAACGGGAGTCTTTGAAATAACTGAATATTACATCACAGTAGCATTAGGGGTTAATAGAAAATGGTTGGAGGATTTTAGCCAAGAATTGTTAGAACAACAGATCTTCCATATGAAAATAAAGCCCAGGCTCTGTCATCTTAAGCAAGTGTAAAATTAAACCTGACTGTGTAAGCAGATATTACAGGAGTGTATGGGAAGATGTGATTCGTGGAATCAGGAGAGAAGTACTGATTTGGAGATCTGCTTATTTATCTAGTACAAAGCCCAAGAATGTTTTTTTTCTTTTAGAATAAATTGATAGCATTACAGAGAAGTTTTGAAAGAAATTAGTAGCTCCAAGAGTGTAAAAAAAGGATTAAAATAACTTGGAAATCTGGAATAAAATCTATTTTAAAAACTAGGAGGGCCTGGTATGGTGGCCTAGCAGCTCACTTGCTGAATGAACCAGCAGATGGAGGATCTTTATGTCTGCTTCTCCATAAATCTAATCTGCCTTTCCAATAAAAATAAATCCTTTTTTAAAATTCCGTATATGGACATGTAAATGTATGCATTTCTTAAAATAACACATCAAAATGCAAAAATAGTCATTAATTGGTGGTAAGATTGCAAATGATATTTAATTAAAGGTTTTAAGAGATTGGAGCAGGCATGACACAGTAAGTAGCCTAGTGGCTAACGTCCTCACCTTGAACACGCCAGGATCCAATATAGGCACCTGTTCTAATGCTGGTGGCCTCGGAAAACAGTCAAGGACAGCCCTAAGCCTTGGGACCCTGTACCCATGTGGGAGACTCATAAGCAGCTCCTGGTTCCTGGCTTCAGATTGGCTCAACTCCAGCCATTACAGCTGCTTAGGGAGTAAATCATCAGATGAAACATCTTCCTCTCTGTCTTTCCTACTCTCTGTATGTCTGCCTTTCCAATAAATATAAATACATCTTTAAAAAAAAAAAAGAAGAAGAAACTAGGAAGCTCTTGATAGTGATTGAAATATAATACTGGTATTACTGCAAGATTTCTGTAACCAAGAAAATGAATTTGTTATCACAAAAATGTGATAATAAGGGCCAAAAAATTACCAGTTCTAGACCAACTGGAAAATAGGGAAAGGAATCCAAAATACAAATTCAGGAACTGCTAAAAGAATAGGGAGAGTAAAATTAGGTGGCTAATAAATTTCCTGGAGTATCTTAAAAGTTATTTAGCTAAGCATATGGCCAGCAAAATTTGGAGGATGATTGTTATCATGCTGTTGGTTTTTTCCTAGTTTTTGTAATGTACTCAGGAAAAGAAAAGCAAAAGTCTAAAATTTACCTTAGCTTTACAGAGTTTTAAGTTCTTATATTTTAGAGTATGGCAGAAATAATAAGATACCTAATTGGCACTGTTAAATTTTAGATGGTCTGTCCTCTGCTGATCCCAGCTCTGATTGGAATGCACCAGCAGAAGAATGGGGGAACTGGGTAGATGAAGAAAGAGCTTCACTTCTGAAGTCCCAAGAGGCAGTTCCTGATGATCAAAAGGTGAGTGGAGGGGTTTGTTAATGAAGGAGGCTGAGGGAGGAGGGTTCTGGGTGATGGAGCCTGCGGCTGGTAGAATGCCAAGAGAGACAGCAGTCAACAGCATTGAGAGTGCATGGCCAATCTAAGGTTGTTAGGCCTGAAAAGTAGTGCTGCATTTGCCCTATGGTATGTTGGAACGGTGAGAAGCCACATTGCAGTAAGTTGAGTGAATGAAGGAATAAAAACTAGTCAGAACGAGTTGTTTGTTTTGAAGTCTGGATAGGCATGTAGGTGAGGTCATAGATGGCAGCATATTCAGGGTTTGTTGGGGAGGGTTATTTGTACTGTAATGGTAAATGACATTTTGGTGTAGGTAGCAAAATAGCAAAAGGTCAAATACTCTGAATAAGCTACTGAATTGCTACACACAGCCATTGGTGATACAAACATGAGTCTTGCTTGAAAAATTAGCATTGGGCTGAATTACAGAGTGTTTAGATACCAAAGAGAGGGGTGGGTCCAAGGAGGGTAGGCAAATGGAGAAACAATCAAAAGAACATGTGAAAACTGGGTCCGGCATGGTAGTCCAGTGGCTAAAATCCAGTCCTTTCACAGGCCGGAATCCCATATAGGCACCAGTTCTAATCCCAGCTGCTCCAATTTCCATCTAGCTCCCTGCTTATGCCCTAGGAGAATGGTCAAAAAATGGCCCAGGGCCTTGGGATCCTGTACCTGCGTGGGAGACCTGGAAGGAGCTTCGAGCTCCTGGCTTCAGAAGATCTTTTCCGTGTCTCCTCCTCTCTGTGGATCTGATTTCCATTAAAATAAATAAATAAATCGTTTTTAAAAATTAAAAGGAGGGCCCGGCGCGGTGGCGCAAGTGGTTAAGGTCCTCACCTTGCACGCCCGGGATCCCATATGGGCGCCAGTTCTAATCCCGGCAGCCCCGCTTCCCATCCAGCTCCCTGCCTGTGGCCTGGGAAAGCAGTCGAGGATGGCCCAAAGCTTTGGGACCCTGCACCCGCATGGGAGACCCGGAAGAGGCTCCTGGCTTCGGATCGGCATAGTATCGGCCGTTGCGCTCACTTGGGGAGTGAATCATTGGACGGAAGATCTTCCTCTCTGTCTCTCCTCTCTGTATATCCGCCTTTCCAATAAAAAAATAATAAAAATAAATCTTTAAAAACACAAAAATTAAAAGGAACATGTGAAAGTTGAAGGGAGAAAAGAGTGTAGATTGGGCCTAAATAAATTTCCTGGTACGACCCCTTAACATACAACTGTCACTGAAATAAATGTTGAACTTTTAGTAAATATATAACCATACATCTGTTTTTACACTGAATTTCCCCAGGCACAATTATCAAAGTTAAATAGCCAGTAACTGTAGCCAGAATTTTTTAAGGGGTCCACATTTTGATGCTTTGAGTTAAGCTTCTTCCCGTATCAGAATGCCAGTTCCAGTCCCAGCTTGTCTACTTCCAATCCAACTTCTGACGCATCTGGAAATAGGAAGACAGCCCCTGCCAACCACTTAGGATACTCAGATGAGTTGCTTGCTTCCTCTGGCTTCAGCCTGGCCTACACCTGGCAGTTGTGGGCATTTGGGAAGCGAACCAGCAAATGTAAGATACCTATCTCTGTTTCTCTGTCTCTCCCTCTATCTCTCTGTCTCTTTCTGCCACTCTGCCTTTCTTATAAATAAATTTGTGAAGAAGGAAAGACTGTAGGACTGCTGTTGGTATAGCCAGTTAAGCCAGCACTTGCAATGCCAGCATCCCTATTGCAAATGCTCCACTTGTGATTCCAGCTCCTCGCTGATGGCCTGGGAAAATGACAGGATGGACCAAGGCAGGACATAGGGACTAGTGTTGTAGATCTTCCAACTGCTGGAGCCGGACAGCCAAAGCAGGAGCCAGAAGCTTCCTCAGAATCTCTCATGTGGGTACAGGATCCAAGGCCATCTCTGCTGCTTTCCCAAGTGCATTACCAAGGGGCTGGAACAGAAATGGATCAGCCAGGACTATATCCAGCTAGTGCCACAAGCAGTGGCTGCAGCCCAGCCCCCTAAAATATGGGTTATGTAATCAAGGTAGAGTGAACCATCAGGTTCATTCTCCATTTGACCACAGTTGCCAGGGCTGGGCCACACCAAAACTAGGAGCCTGAATCTGCACCCTGGTGTCCTATGTGGGTAGCGTAATCCCAAGACTGGGACCAGCTTTCCCAGGTACATTAGGAGGGAGCCAGATTGAAAATAGAGCAGTCAGGATTCAAACTAGAGCTCAAATGGGATGCTGGCATTGCAGGAAGTGGCAGTACCCAAATCTGGCTCCTTCATTGTGTTTTGAATGTGCAAGTTTTGGTCTGTTTTGTTATGTTTTAAGTCTTAATTTACATTTTAAGGGATAAAGACAATGTAGTGGTGATATTAATTCTGAATAATAGAAACTTGACGTGATTCACTTTAAATTTGTTTTTCACATCAGATTTCAGATGATGATAAAGAAAAGGGAGAGGGAGCTCTTCCATCTGGGAAATCTAAAAAGAAAAAAAAGAAAAAGAAGAAGCAAGGTGAAGAGAACTCTCCTGCACAGGTAAAATATCAACAGCAAGCCTTCCATACCTGCAGCTGGCAATATGAGGAAACGATGTTGGGTGTCTCAAATGAGAGGGAGAAGGAGGTGTCAGCGTTAAAGCATTTTAAAAATAATGTTCATTTAGATAATATACTGTAATTTAAAATTGTTCTCTAAAAACTAATGGCTATAGCCAAAATCTAAAAATAAATAAAATTCCAAATTATTCAAATGCATTCTTGATTATGTAATAATGAAATGAAAAGGGAAGTACAGTATTTTATAAATTGAGTGATTAGAAAGACCAGGTGTGTGGGTCCTGGGGATGGCATCGTGGAACCACTCCCATTTCCAGGTTCCCAGTTAGTCTGGCTATGTGGAAGGGAGCTCGCTCTTCCCGCGGACACGGGATATAGGACAGAAGGTAGATACATCACTCTGCCACCTCTCCCTTAGCAGTGACTGTGGATGGCTCAGGTGTCTATGATTTTCTCACCTTTAAAAGAAATAGATAATTAAGGATTTATTTTTATTTGAAAGGCAGATCTTACAGGGCGAGAAGGTAACACAGGTCTTCCGTGTGCTCGTTCGCTCCCTAGATAGCTACAGTGGCTGTCACACCAGACCCTGATTTCCCTAGCTTTTAAGTAAATTTTACAGTATTTTAAAACAAACAAACAGTCATATAATAAATACTCTTGCCTCTCAGTTTACTGGTAATTTCCTTTAACTAGAGGTCAAAAGGGGGGGGGGGCGTGGCACAATAGCCTACCAGCTAAAGTCCTTATTTTCCATGCCAGGATCCCATATGGTTGCCAGTTCTAGTCCCAGCTGCCCCACTTCCTGTCCAGCTCCCTGCTTGTGGCCTGGTAAAGCCATACAGGACAGTCCAAAGTCATGGGACCCTGCACCCACATGGGATACCCAGAGGAGGTTCTGGGCTCCTGGCAACAGATCAGCTCAGCTCCAGGCATTGTGGCCACTTGGGGAGTGAATCATCAGTCAGAAGATCTTCCTCTCTGTCTCTTCTGTATATCTGACTTTCCAATAAAAATAAATAAATTTTAGAGAGAGAGAGAAACTAAGGCTTCTAACCATCAGAAAAAACCCTTTGCATCCAACATACATTTTCTTTGGTCTCAGCTATATGGGATAAAATTAGATTTTAGTAAAGAAGTCAAACATGCTGTTTTGGGGGCCACTGTTGTGGCATAGATGATAAAGCCAGCTGCTCCACTTCTGATCCAGCTCCTGGGAAAGCAGCGGGAGGTACCAAGTGTTTGGGTTCTTCCCACCCCTGTGGAAGACTGGGTCACGTTTCAGGTTCCTGTCTGGGCTCACCCAACCAGACATTTGGGCCACTTGGGGAGTGAAGCAGTGAATCTCTGGTAAATAAATAAATTTCTTTAAAAGAAGGAGGAGGAGGAAGATAATCATACAGATAAATTTATTTTGTAATTGAAGAAATTAAGTCTCAAAATAACTATTGATTTGGCCCTGCATATACAGCTGGACAGTGACAAAGCCAAGATTGGAACTCCCTGTCTGAGCCTTTCTAACGTGTCAACCTACTGTATATAACAATTGCACTTACGTACAAACATTCCTTGCTTGGAGAAGTCATTAAGCAAAACGCTACTTTAAAATCTTAGGTCAAGCATGATTAGTTCATTATAAACTTTTTTCTTATATCAAAATTTATTTTTACTGGAAAGGCAGATTTACAAGAGAGAAGGAGAGACAGAGAGAGAGAGATTCAATCTACTGGTTCATTCCCTAAAATGTCCACAATGGCCAGAGCAGAGCCAATCTGTATCCAGGAGCCAGGAGCTTCTTCCTGGTTTGCCACATGGATGCAGGGTCCCATAGCTTTGGTTCATCCTCCCCTGCTATCCCAGCCACAAACAGGGACCTATATGGGAAGTGGAGCAGCTGGGACATGAACTAGCACCCAAATGGGATCCCAGCTCTTGCAGGGCATAGGATTAGCCAATTGAGCCCTATTATGTACTTGTAAAAGATTATTTATTTCAAAGGCAGCATGTACATGCATGCATATGTGAGACAAAGACAAACAGAATTGTCTGTGTTCTGGTTCACTCTCCAAACGCCCATGACAGCTAGGATGGGGCCAGCTGAAGCTTGGGGCCTGGGGCTCAGTCTGGGTCTTCCACATAGATAGTAATAAAACTTTTTTTTTAATATCAGATATGCTAGTTTAATTTATTGTATTTTAGTTTATTTAATTAGAATAGTTTTTATGGGGGAGGTGTTAATTTAAGGTTCATTTATTCTCAGAGAGTTACAGAGAGGAAGAGACAGACCTTCCATCTGCTGGTTCACTCCTCAGATGGCTCCAGCCGAAAGCACTAGGCCACAGGCTTCATCTGGATTTCCCATGTGGGTGGCAGGACCTCTCTGGCCGCATTGTGCTGCTTTCCCAGGCATGTTAGCAGGCAGCTGGTCAGAAGTGGAGCACCAGGACATGAAGCAGTGTCTATGTAGGATGCTGTGGTGGCATTTCCACCGTTGTCGGGTTGTTTTGTTTTTTGCTTTCCATTGGCAATTTCTTGGAGAAAGCAGGAAATAGTAAATGTGTATTCCATTGTACATGTATGTGTTCTCAATCTTTGAGTAATTATTATTTTATATGCTTTTTAACTTGTCGACAACTTCTAAGATGCAATTATTTCCTCCTTGGGACAGTAATAACTTTTAATAACTAAAGCAGATCATTTGTATTTTCTAACACATTCATGTGCAGGACACAGAAGAATTAGAAAAAGAAATCAGAGAAGAGCTTCCAGTGAATACCTCGAAATCCCGTCCGAAACAGGAAAAAGCTTTTTCCTCAAAGACCATAAGCACTAGTGATGCACCTGAAGTACTCCTCAAAAACAGCCAGGTAATTCTTAACAAGCATCTCAGCTGGGACTGTGCTAAGCATTTTATTTTTTTAGGTTTTTTTGAAACGCAGAGAGATCTTCCATGTGCTGGTTCACTCCCCAGTGGGCGGAGCTGGCTTGGTCCAGAGCCAGGAACTTTCTCTGGGTCTCTGCTTGAGTGCAGGGGCCCAGGGACTTGCCATCTGCTTTTTCTCAGGCACATTGGCAGGAAGCTGAATCAGAAGTGGAGCAGCCGGGACTTCAACCAGCACCTAAGTGGGATGCCAGTCTCAATGTACTAAGTATTTTTTTTTTAATCTTTTTTTTTTTTTAAGATTTATTTATTTATTGGAAAGTCAGATATATAGAAAGGAGGAGTGACAGAGAAGAAGATCTTCCATCTGATGATTCACTCCCCAAGTGAGCACAACGGCCAATGCTATGCCAATCCAAAGCCAGGAGCCTCTTCCGGGTCTTCCAAGCAGGTGCAGGGTCCCAAAGCTTTGGGCCATCCTCGACTGCTTTCCCAGGCCACAGGCAGGGAGCTGGATGGAAAGTGGAGCTGCCAGGATTAGAACCAGCGCCCATATGGGATTCCAGTGCGTTCAAGGCGAGGACTTTTGCCGCTAGGCCATGCCGCCGGATCCCAGTACTAAGTATTTTAAATACACCTGTTATACTACTAGACACCCCCAAGAGAAAGGATTCCTGTAAATGAGGCTAGAGAAGTGACATGTCAAGTCATTTATTAGTGAACTCAGTGCCACTATATGGTATTGGCCTTTGTCCATCATTTTGCTTGCTGCCATTCAGCTCCATATGATGAGTTAGGTTTAAACATATGTGTTGGGGAACTCCTGAAGTAAGCGCTAGCTAAGCTTTAAGTTGGGCTCCTTCTGAGTGGTGTCATGAAGTGTCATTCTGTGCCATCTTGCCAAGAACAGTGAGCCTCGTCTCTTTCTCCGTCCTGTCTACACTGCAAACATTAGCCATGTGTTAATCGTTTGGGCTCTCCTGACAAATTGACTGTCGTACTTGTGTTCCGTACCCTTGAGAGCAAGAGTAATGATACAGCAATTCTAACGTGCCAAAACAAAGCTACCAAATGCTTACTTTAAGTGAAAAGATGAAAGTCCTTGAATCAGTGAAACAAGAAAAGTATGCTTAGATTGCAAACATCTAGAAAATGAATGAGTGGAGGGGAAGAAATCAGAATATATGTAAGATTATGTTTATACATATATATACACATATATATGACTAAGAATCTGCACATGTAAAAGATAGATGGCTTAGAAAAATTGGAATGGTTTTATTTTCCCTAAGGCATGTGAATGATGTGACAGTTCAGCCTCCCCAAAGTACCATTTGTTTGAAATTTTGTGGTTTTGGTTAAGATTTGTTTATTTGAATGTCAGAGTTAGAAAGAGACATGAAGGGCACAGATCTTCCTTTGATTAGTTTATCATTATGTAGCTTTGCTGCAGGCTAGTGGTGTGTTACAGGGATCATTTTACAGGAAGTATGGGCCAGTGCCGCAGAGGAATAGGTAAACATATCATTAAAATTTGTTAGAGTTGCATAATTTGTTGATTTTTTTTATTCCAAATGTGCTGTGAACCCTGTGTGTACCCCAACTATTTGTGGGACTTGAATGCGACGGAGAGCACAACAAAATGTGTCTGCCTTGCCTTAGTGAAGTTTACATGTTGAGTGAAACAGCTTGCAGCAGGTCTCATAAGAGCAAAACTTTCATCATAACTTCGGATTTGATGTTTTTGATTCTCTAAGCTAATTTTGAGGTAAAAGCCTTAGGATGATGCACCCACATGGGAAACCCAGAAGAAGCTTCTGGCTCTAGCTTCACATCAACTCAGTTCCAACCTTTGCGGCCACTGGGGAGATGGAAAATCTGTGTGTGAATCTGCCTTTCAAATGAAACTAAAGTTTGAGAAACAAGTTTCTAGGGCCTGGCGCAGTGGCCTAGCAGCTACAGTCCTCACGTTGAACGCACCAGGATCCCATATGGGCGCCAATTCTAGTCCAGCAGCTCCACTTCCCATCCAGCTCCCTGCCTGTGGCCTGGGAAAGCAGTCAGTCGAGGACGGCCCAAAGCTTTGGGACCCTGCACCCACGTAGGAGACCTGGAGGAGGTTCCTGGCTCCCGGCTTTGGATCGGCACATCACCAACCGTTGTGCTCACTTGGAGAGTGAAACATGGAATGGAGGATCATCCTCTCTGTCTCTCCTCCTCTCTGTATATCTGACTTTCCAATAAATAAATAAATCTTTAAAAAAAAGAAAGAAAAAATAAGTTTCTAATCCAATAAGGAATAAACAAAGTCGTTGAATCCTTGACAAATATAAAATTATGCCATTTCTAATAGAGGAATATAAAAGACTGTGAAAATCGCATTGCTAAAGCTGATGTAATCATCAAGAAGATGCTCCAGCTCCTAGTGCTGGCATGCCATGTGGGTGCCACTTCACATCCTGACTGTTCCGCTTTGCATCCAGCTTCCTGCCTACAGCCTGGGAAGATGGCAGAGGTGGCTCACAGCCTTGGGCACTTGACACCCAAGTGGGAGACCTGGAAGAAGCTCCTGGCTTCACATCAGCTTTACATAATTTGAATGAACCAATGGACAGAGGATCTTCATTTGTCTCTCCTTCTCTGTAAATAGCTCTTAAAAAAAACAACAGGCCCAGCATGGTAACCTAGCGGCTAAAGTCCTCATCTTGCATTCTCTCTGTATATCTGACTTTCCAATAAAATTAAATAAATTAAAATTGAAATAAATCGGACCCTGCATGGTAGCCTAGCAGCCAAAGTCCTCGCCTTGAACACGTCAGTATTCCATATGGGTACCAGTTCCTATCCATCTCCCTGCTTGTGGCCTGGGAAAGCAGTGGAGGATGGCCCAAAGTCTTGGGGCCCTGTACCCACGTGGGAGTCGCAAAAGAAGCTCCTGGCTCCTGGCTTCTGGCTTCGGATTGGCTCAGCTCTGGCTGATGCGGCTGCTTAGATAGTAAATAATCAGATGGAAGATCTTCCTCTCTCCAACTTCCTATAACTGTCATTCTAATAAAAATAAGTGCTTTCAAGATAAGCAAATTAAATAAATCAAAAATAAACTAATTTGGAGCCCAGCACAGTAGCCTAGCAGCTAAAGTCCTCGCCTTGCATCCCATATAGGCGTCAGTTCCAATCCAGGCAGCCCCATTTCCCATCCAGCTCCCTGGGAAAGCAGTCAAGGGCGGCCGAAAGCCTTGGGACCCTGCACCTGCATGGGAGACCTGGAAGAGACTCCTGGCTTCAGATTGGCTCAGTTTCTCCTCAGTATATCTGCCTTTCCAATAAAAATAAATAAATCTTTAAGAAAAATAAACAAATTTTTAAAATAACAAAAATACACCTATACCTGCCTCCATTTTGTCCCAGGCTGTGGTCCCATTGTAGTAGTGTTTGCTTTGCTTTGTCAATAGAGGGCAGACATGAGTTGCAGTACTTTACTAAATCACTTGGAAACTGTTTATTTACTTGCTACTGAACAATTTTCTTGATATCACTATTTTATTTGAAAATTTTACAACTAACCTGAGATAAGTTTGTTTCAATGTAGCCTATCAAGACTCTTCCACCTGCTGTTTCTGCCGAGCCATCTGTTAGCTTATCAACAAATGATTCTGACAAGAGTTCTTCCCAAGTGCCAGAGACAGATAAATCCAAGTCAAACACCAAGCAAAACAGTGTGCCTCCTTCTCAGAGTGAGTGACCCTGCCCTGCTGCCATGGTGTCTGCCTTACATGCCCCTGTGTGTGCTCAGGTTCTGCTCTTAGCAGAACAGTCCTGCCTTGCTTTCTTTGCAAATGTTGAATTCCTTAAAATCTCATGAAGTCGAGTTGTAAAGGCCAAGGATGGACAACAACAGAAGGGAGGAGCCAAGGGCGTGGGCCTTGTCACCTGCCTCCCTCAGCCTAGTTAGAATGAGGAATATTAAATGATGGCTTTTTAGGTCAAAACTGGTTAAATATCACTATTTCTATATGATTAAGCTTAATAATACACTAGGCTCAAAAAATAAAGACAAAAAATAACCTAAAAATGTGTAACTGGGACTTGAAGAGTTAAAGTCTATTTTATAGGAATTTTTTTCAGTGTTATGCTTTCTGTTAAATTAAGTATTACTTATTATCCTCCTAACTTTTTTGCCTTTCTTTCCTTGCTTCTCTCCCCCTTTAGCCAAGTCTGAAACTAACTGGGAATCTCCCAAACAAATAAAAAAGAAGAAAAAAGCCAGGCGGGAAACGTGATTTTTTTTTTTCCTATATTGGACACGTGTTTGCAAACACTGTCTTGAAGATTATGCTGTTTATGCAATAATTTGTGAACATGTACAGAGTTTTATATAAATTTAAACCAGTTTTTAAAACAAAACTGTGAACACAACCACCGTAAAAATGGAATCAAAGCAAAGCTAATTTATGAAATTAAGAGGTCATCAGAATATTTTACACACAGTGCTTGAAGACACTTGGGAAGGTCTTTCCATTGAACAAGAGCGATCTTAATTTAAGAATATTATCCTGGTTTTACAACAGTGCCCTGTTTACAACGGATTGTGCCCTGGCTCCTCTGCAGCTGAGAAATAACGGATTCTGATTAGAGAAAGGATCGCCTTCAAATGGCAGGCGACTCCTTGGATCTTATGCACGAACTTATACCATTTGAATCTGTTTTATGCTTAAATCAAAGTGCTTTGATCAAATGCATAATCTGCCATATCTTTACATATTTGTTGGTAGCAATTTGTATTAAAAGAATCACAAGTGCAAATAAAAAGTCATGTATCATTTATTTAACTAAACTGTCATGGTTTAGTTTGCAGTTTTTAATTCAAGAGGTTGAAAATGCAGTTGACACTTGTATGACTTATGAAGTTATTTTTGATAGTTTTGCGTTACTTGAATTGTTCAAAGTAGAGTATGTTTTAAGAAAGGTAAACTATGTATTTCTTTTATATACATTTAAGGTTCAGACTCTTAAAATAATGCTATTGTTGATGATTTGAAAACTTTCAGGCAAAATTCAACTTACGTTTTTCCTTTCCCTAGCAATTGCTTTTTTCCAGCATCATCTCTCAGTTCCTAGTAACTTTTTTTACTGTAAAATTGAAGTCATTCACAAACTTTGAGTCTATGATGGAGAATGAAACCTAGAGTCAGACAGCTTTAATTGACATTGTCAAGACCTCCAGTTATCAGGAAGACATTTTTTTACTGCCTTAACCTGTAGTACATAGAATATGCATCAATTCTTGAAGAGGATTTGTGTTTTTATAAGAATTTTCATGTAATTATTGCAATTGTGGTCAAATAAGGAACGTTTCCTGCTTGAACTGTATTGATTTACATGACATGTGAGATGTTCCACCATTTTCAGGCACTGTGTAATTCTATTGTAATAACCTGGCAGGTATCTTTGTAACTATAAATAGTGCATGCTCAGCCATGTACACTGTAAATAGCCTTTACCAAACGTGTTTGACAAGGACCATAATTAACATCACTTAGTGACTTGTGGTAAAGAGAAAAGCCATGATTTATTTGATGTGATTGGCTTACCTGTTTATACGTGGCGCCAAGAATGGACCTGTTAACAGCTGTAACCAATGGTACTGATCTTCCTTTCCAGCGTTGTCTCTACTTGATTGTGGTATTGCATTGTCAGACTTAGGAAAGCTACAGACACAGAATGGTTTAGTTTTTCTGAAGACGGGCCTTATTCATGGACGGCTTTCCTATCAAGTGGTTAACTTTTATCAGGTGTTAACATCTGTTTCAGGAACGTGACAGTATGTTTACATGTCAGAGGTTTTGTTTAATTTTATGGAATTTTTAAATCAGTTTGTTTAAATAAATTCAGCAAATGGATAGTATTGTTTTATTGGCTTCAATACAGGGGAAAATGATAGCTGGAGTGCCAGGAAAGAATGTCTTCAAAGGATTTCATTCTGGTAGCTTTATATAGATGCTTCTTAAATAGATCTGAGGATCCCTGAGTTGGGAAGGTATCACAAAGGAGAATTTAATAAAATTCTGTGATTTTAGAATGTGCCAAAAGATTTATGATCAGAAATTGAATTGAACTCTCTCAACTCTACCTCACCATTTCTTTATGTTCAGATTCTGTCAGCTGTATTCCTCCAGCTTGGTTAGCTCCCCATTCAGCCACCTGTGCCAGGTGTGCATGACAGCGTGGTTTCAGGAAAGCTGTGTTGTGGGGATGGAGAAGCACATTGCTGAATCTGGGGTGGATCCAGAAAGGTGGTGTCGCTGTCCCTGGCTCAAAGCTAAGGAGGGCGTGGATTATTTCCAGAGGTGGCAGCTATATGAGTGATAAAATTAGTCCCATTCCCTTTTCCATGCTTGAGATAACAAAACTCTTGAACAATTCTGAACCATTCCTCATTCTTCAGGAATCTTTCTGTAACATCAAAGCAGTTTCTGACATCTGCCAGAGGACCTACCTCTTTCCCTCCTCTCGGAAGGCACCGTGCTGTGCTGACATAGCCAGGGGCTGACTGACCCTTCACACTGTGTCGGGCCTGGGAGAGGGACCTTGTTACTGTTTATTAGCAAGCCTTCTAGAGGAACCACTCAGAAGGGAGGCTGCTGAACCTTGGCTGTCTTCCACATGCTTGGTGAAAACCCTGCCCCGCGCTGAAGTGGGATATGCTGGTTGAAGAGATCTCCAGACTGGAATCCTACCTTCTTGTATGCTGTATTGAACAAAACAACAGTTGAGAGAGTCCAAAAAAAAAATAGAAAAAAGGCATTGAATGAAAATGTGATTCCTGTAATTTCATGTTTACTTTGTGCATGCGTTTTTCTGGGAAAGGGAAGTCAAAGTAATTGACCCAGCTCAGCAGGTATTATTTATTTCATAGGTGAATCCGATTTGTATTTACCTTAAAGTTACCGAAGGGCAATATTTAACAACAGAGCTTAGTTTTTCGTAAATAAAACAGCCCTCTATTAAAACAGCGTGAAATATCTCAAAATTTAGAATTTAGTTTTTAAGATGTCTAATAGATGTCTTAAGATCTTCCTGTAAACTCATTGCACAAACTGGAATTACTTTCCAAGGACTTAGGGAATGCAAAGATGTTCTTTGTAAGATGCATTGAATATTGTAAATAAAACAAACCATTTTTGTTTTGTTTAACATGCTCGCTATAGTTCTCTTGTTGGAACGGTACCGTGTCAGTCATTTCACACCCTACACTAATTGAAAGTTGTGTTGTTGTTTTTGACTTTTTTCTTCTCCCTGCAATAACAGGTACAAGCTTTACTGCTGGGAAGTGGCGTCAAGCTGCTTAGAAAGTGTCCCTCTTTGTGTCCCACAGTGTTCATGGTGGGAGCATCCTGTGTTTCTGTCATTTCAGTACATGCGTGCATCTGCCTGCAGGAACCTGGGTCACTGTCGACCTGCTGGGTTAGGGAAATCTTGGCTGATGCTTGAGTTTATAAGTACACATTTGGCTGTGCCCCAAACAGTAGGGACTTACTCAGGAAAGGCAGACCCGGGCTGGCTGACGTGACTGCCCAAGGACAGGCATATGGTTTCCTGCCACACAGTCCCTCCTCGTCCCTGCCCGATGACCTGGAGACAGGTGCCCTGGACATTTGAGCCTGCTGAAAGATGGCGGTCCCTCTCCTCTCGGAACACTTTGCGAGTTAGTCGCAGCACTCAGACTTGTGGTCCGTACCTTAGTCGCTTGGTTCTGCCAGGGTAGCAGGGGTATGGGAAGTAAGTCTGTCTGCTGTTAACTCATGGACCCAGCTACCATCCCAGTATTCTGTTAAGGGATTGCTGGTCACCTCCAGCGGTATCTATCACACAGTTGATGCCCTCTGTGTTTCCTTTATACCCAAGCTTCCTTTCTAAGATCAGAATTTAGATTTTCTAGGTTCTTGCATGCTGCTCAGGATAGCAGTTAATAACATCCCAACTTCACTACAAAATAGTATAGAAGGCATTTCTGCCACTAATGACTGCTTTGAATTCTAGAGATAGCTGAGAGAAATCTAGAACCCTGCTAGCACATTTACAAGTATAAGCTTTTAGCAGCTTTAACAACTGCTGTGGTGTATGAAGTAATCTTGAAAAAGTTGAAAGGGCACTGCTACTATTCGTTCCCCAGTTCTCTGTGTCATAACAGTTACTTTTAACCCTAGAATCAAGACATGAGGGCTGTTGTAACACGCCTGCTAACAGTGCAATCCTGGGGTTTGTGAACAGATCTCGAAGGCTCAGTTACACAGAAAAGTAACATGCATAAGTCTTACAGCATAATGAAAAGGAACATCTCTGAAACCGTCATTGTTCCGCTTAAGAAATAGAACGTTGGTGTGGGTGTCAGAGTTCCGGGCATTAGACAACACTGCTGGAATTCTGGCAGCCCTTTACGGAGTGAACCAGTGAATAAAAGCTTGCTCACTTCTTCCCCTCCCTGTCACTCTGCCTTTCAAGTGGGTAAAGATAAATTTGATAACCTTGTTAAAAAATCATTTGGTGGGGAATATGGAATAAGCTTTTGTTTGATGACTGGATTGATTAGGTGAGGAAAGCCATGAATGATCATACAGCTCTCAGATACCTCTGGGCACAGCTGCTGCTTGGTGCCAGTGGGGGCTATGGGTCCTACAGGTCGTCTGGCCTGCTTTCAGGAGGGTGTCATGGCAGCCTCCTCTGGACACTGCCCCAGGGTTGTGCCCTAGAGTTGTGCACAACTGCATGTGGCAACCTTTCCACAAGAAGGGGTGAGTAACAAGGCTCCTATCGACAGCTGTCCGCCAGGAGCCCAAGGCCTCCCACTTGGTCTACACTCTCGGGACATTGGTCATGGGGCTGGAGAATGAAAACCACCAAAACCAAGAACTGGGGAGCAAGCTGGAGGGAGGACCAGTGGTTGGTTCCTTTTCTAACTTTCAGTAAGAATGTAGAATGGGAGATCAGTTGGAGAAGGAGCAGCAGTTCCCATGTCCAGTTAGAATTGAAACGACCGCAGCAATGAGACACCAAAGGAAGCGTTCCATAGCACTGACACCATGAACTTGGCGGTGTTTCTGTTACTGGCAAATTGGATCCACTGATTTATCAAAAAACAAAATACTGATCATGGAAGTCAGTGCGGGCATCTGGTGCAGAGATGAAGATGCTGCCTGAGATGCCCTGAGTTCATGTCCAGCTCTGCTCCTGACTCCCATTTCCTGTCCACGAAAACCGGGTAAGAATTGGTTTCCTGCTACTAGCAGGTGGGAGATCCCTGTCTCACAAGATGAAAGCCATTAAGAGAAGTTCTAATGTTAAATGTTCTTAACTCACAAAGGCCAGTGTAATGACCTAGCAGGCTAACCTACTTATGCCAGCATCCCATATGGATCAAGTCCCAGCTGCTCCACTTCTGTCCTACTCACTGCTAATGGCCTCAGATAACAGCAGCAAATTCCCCAACATTGGGTTCCCACATGGGAGACACAGATGAAACTCCAGGTCTTCCACGTGGGTGCAGGGTCCCAAGGCTTTGAGCCATCCACTGCTTTCCCAGGCCACAGCAGGGAGCTGGAATGAAAGTGGAGCAGTTGGGACTTGAATGGTACCCAAATAGTATCCCAGCAAAAGCAAGCCAGGGATTTAGCCAATAGGGCCCAAAGTGATCTTTGATTCTTGGTCATATGTGTGGAAACCTCAAATATCACTGAGAAGAGAACAAATATACAAAAATCTATAGAGATTTCTGGACTTGGGAGAGGAAATGGGGAAAAAAAAATCTGGGTAATAACCACAACTGAACTGCCCCACTGGTGTGGTACAACAGCTTAGGCTACCACTTGGCGAGGCTTTTGTTCCCTAGTGATGACCTGGAATCCAGCGGCTGTACCTCTAATCCAGCTCCCTGCTAATGTGCCTGGAAAGGCACTGGAATATGACCCAAGTCCTTGGGCCCCAACACCTGTAAAAGAGATCCAGGATCCTGACTTCAACCTGACCCGGACCTCATGTGTGGCCATTTGCAGAGTGAACCAATGGATGGAAAACCTCTTCGTTCCTTTATGTCACCGTATCTCTCAAATAAATAATTATATATAAATGTATATAGCCACTAGACTACCATGTTGGGCCCATAAATCTTACAATTTGGTTTTTTAATGTTGAAATCTGGGCCTAGTGTGGTAGCTTAGTGGTTTAATTCCTAGCCTTGCATGTGCCAAGATTGCAAATGGGTGCCAGTTCATGTCCAGGCTGCACCATTTCCCTTTCAGCTTCCTGCCTAAGTGGAGGACGGCCCAAAGCCTTAAAACTTGGCACCAACACAGGAGACACAGAAGAGGCTCCTGACCTTGGATTGACTCAGTGCCAGCTATTACAGCCATTGGGGAGTGAACCAGTGGATGGAATATCTTCCTCTCGTCTCTCCTCCTCTATATATATATCAGTCTTTCCAATAAAAATAAATAAATCTTTACCAAAAAGTTGAAATCCATGCATCCAATAGGCTCTTCAGAAAGTTCAAGGAAAATACATATGTTGAATAAGTTATATATGGACTTCAATGGGGGGAGGGCCTCAAAAGAGACACTTTGCATTGCATTTCACAATTACAGAGAAAGAGGCAGAGACAGAGATTTCCATCCACTGCACAGGAGCTGGACCAGACCAAATGTAGGTTCCAGGACCTTCTACTGTGTCTCCCAGGTGAACACGGGGCCTCAAGCACTTGGGCCGTCTTCCATTGCTTACCCAGGTGCATCAGAGAGCTGGATCTGAAGTAGAGCAACTAGGACTCTAACAAGCCAAAAGCTATGGGTGCTTTGCAGGTGGCACTTTAATCCTATCTGCCACAACACCGTTCTCACTGACCTCCTCAAGCATCCTTCTCTGAGTGCTTCAAACGGGAGAAAGGGGTGGAAGGTACACCTGGGCAGACTCCACTCAAATGTGAAGTGTCCCTCCTCCCAGAGAAATCGGAAACATACCTGAGACCCTAAGTTACAAAGTCAGAGCTGGAGAAAATGGAACAGCCATTGCCTCGGGTGCCCTATGGGGAGCAAGGTGAACCTGCTGAGGTAACCTGCTGTCTATGGCCTACTCAGTGCTTCAGACTCAATTTAGCATGTCTGGCAAGTCCAAGTTCCTGCCTGGGTTCAAGTCCTGGCTCTGCCTCCCATTCCAGCTCTTTGCTAATTTGCACCCCAGGAAACAACAGTTGTTTGGATCTCTGCCAACCTATAGCTTTAGCCTGGCTGCTACAGGCCTTTGGGGACTGAACCAGTAAATGGAAGATCTTTCCATATCTCCTAGTTCTCTCTTTCTCCTCCCTGCACCTCTCCTAAGTAAACCCATCTCTTAATTCCACCTTCCTTCAAATTTCTTGAAGTCCCTCCATGCACTATCATGAGAAACCTATCTGGAGCTGCTCTGACAGTTCACTGGCTAATCCTCCACCTGTAAGCCCCAGCATCCCATAGGAATGCCAGTTCATGTTCTGGCTGCTCCCCTTCCTGTCCACCTCCCTGCTTGTGATCTGGGAAAGTGCAGCCCTAATTGGGACCCTCCTGGCTCCTGGCTTTGGATCTGCTCAGCTCCAGATATGGCTGCCATTTGGGGAGTGAATTAAAAGATGGAAGATCTTTCTCCCTCTGGCTCTCCTTTTCTTTTCTTTTCTTTTTTATTTATTTTTATTACAAAGTCAGATATACAGAGAGGACAAGAGACAGAGAGGAAGATCTGTACGATGAATCCCTTCCCCAAGTGAGCACAATGGCCAGTGCTGTTCCGATCCAAAGCCAGGAGCCAGGAACATCCTCCAGGTCTCCCACGCAGGTGCAGGGTCCCAAAGTCTTGGGCCGTCCTCGACTGCTTTCCCAGGCCACAGGCAGGGAGCTGGATGGGAAGTGGAGCTGCCGGGATTAGAACTGGTGCCCATATGGGATCCCAGCGCGTTCAAGGCAAGGACTTTAGCCACTAGGCCACGCCGCTGGGCCCTGGCTCTCCTTTTCTATGTGAATCTTCCTTTCCAATAAAAGCAAGTAAAAATCTTTAGGAAGAAAAAAAAAGAATAGAGAACAAAAGGAAGCTCTTATTCTGAGACCTAATGTGCAAGCCAGTGTGTGTGTACTGAATTAGCAAAGTGAAGATAATGGAACTTTATCACTCAGACC